GGTGTCAACTGGAGTGGACAACGGCTTGCACTCTATCATTCCTGCACGTTCTAGAATGTCCAGCATATACTATTGTGAGAGGAGGACGGGTCGTGTTCCTGCAGACAAAAACTTGTGCATCGGTCCAATAGGAGGGAGCACAGGGTCAGTAGTATCGTCATCGAGGAACTATAGGTCTGCTGGAGCACTAGGACCATGGCGCTTAGCAAAGGGAAAGGCCGTTTCATCGAAGATGACGTGCCGGGAGATGATGACTCTATTGGAGGAGAGGTCAAGGCAGCGGTACCCTTTGTGATGAGCGGAATAGCCTAGGAAGACACACAGGACAGACCTAGGGGCGAGTTTGTGGGGTGCAGTAGCCGACATGTTTGGGTAACATTTGCAACCGAAGACTCGTAGATGATCATATGCTGGTGGCTTGTAGAACAGGGCAAGGTGTGGCGTGGAAAACTATAGAGTCTTGGTAGGCAGTATGTTGAGCAGAACAATGGCTGTAGAGAGGGCCTCTACCCAGTAGGACGGAGGCATGGACGCCTGGAAGAGCAGTGAGTGAACAACATTATTGATGGAGCGAATAATGCGTTTAGCTTTACCGTTTTGAGATGATGTGTAGGGACAGGACATGCGAAGGTGGATGCCCTGAGCGAGGAAAAACTAACGGGAGCTAGAGTTGTCAAACTCTTTCCCGTTGTCGCACTGAACAGCCTTGACCCGGGCGCCAAACTGGGTGGAGGCGTGAGCGATGAAGTGAGCAAGCGTGCTGAAAGTGTCAAATTTAAGCCGCAAAGGAAACTTCCACAAATAATGAGTGCAATCATCAAGTATGACCAAGTAGTATTTATAACCAGAAATGCTGACAATCGAGAGGTCCATAAATCACAATGTATAAGATCAAACTTGCTAGACGCACGGGAGGTGGACTCATGAAAGGGCAAACGAACATGACGCCCTAACTGACAAGCATGACAACTCTGAGCAATCCTAAATATGATAGGAGACACTAGACGTGAGCTTCGACAACGCCTCATGACCGGGGTGGCCAAGACGTCGATGCCACAGCGGGGAGGAAGCCTGGGCGACAAGGGAGTGTGCTGGGGGTAGGTGCAGAGGGTATAGCGGCCCAGAGCTATTGCACCTGATGATCTCGGTTCGAGATGGAAGAACCTTCACATAACAACCAGCGGGGTCAAACTCAACAGAACAATTATTGTCGGTAGTAAATTGGCGAAAAGAAATAAGATTCTTAATAATTTGTGGCGACACAAGGACATTATTAAGACATAAATTATGAGACAACTCTATAGAGCCAGTGGCAGTGACAGGAAGAAGAGAGCCATTACCGACAACAATGGATGAAGGAGTAGGGTACCGCGGGAGAAGAACATGTGAAAGAGAGGAGGACTGAGATGTCATATGTGAAGTAGCACCTGAGTCGAAGTACCACTTGTTGGACGTAGGAGGGGTCAGCGACGTTATGCTGAAGGCGGAGGCGAGGGTCGTCAGGTCCCAAGAGGGGAGGCCGGCCATCGGGTTGTAATACTCAGGGGTGACCCACTGTCTAGTGCCATCAGGAGCAGGGAGGGCAGCGGCCTGCTGGTGGACAGCAAGGGCGTGCTGCTGCTGTTGGGAGAGGAAGGCCTGCTGATGCGCCTGCTGCTGCGCATGATGTTGTGCCTGCTGTTGTGCTTGCTGCTGCGCCTGCAGGTGAGGAGGCATTGGGATGGGTGCTAGTGGTGGACGAGGTCCCCCTGGCCACATCTGAATGGTTCCGGTCTAGGGGTTGTAGACGCTGGGCCATGGCCGCCCGCCGGCCGGCTGCTGCTGCTGCTATTGTGCGCCACCAGTGGGGCGTGACCCCTGTCCAGGAGGGCCACCGCCGCTGTTGCCTTTGCCGCCACCGCCGCGCTTGCTACGATGGTTGTTAGGCGGCTTGGGGTGCCCACCAGCGCCCATGCCGGAGGACGCAAGGGCAGGGCTGGGAGTGGTGGAGGCGGCGAGCACAGTGGCAGGTGGGTCCTTGCGGGTCTCCATGGTGAGTTCCTCGAGGATGAGGTTGTCACGAGCCTCCAGGAAGGTGGGGAACGGTCGAGCTCGACGAAGGAGCATCCCAACGTGGCTGAAGCGCTCGTTGAGGCCACGGATCACGTTGAGGACGAGCGTGCGATCGGTTACGACCTCGCCAAGGGCCATGAGATCATCGGCCATCTTTTTCAGCTTGCGGCAGTAGTCGGTGATGGAGAGGTCGCCCTGGACAAAGTTGCGAAACCGTGTCTCAAGGTGGATGGAGTGAGCCTTGCGGTTGCCAAGGAACTGTGACTCGACGGTGAGCCAGGCATGCCGAGCGGTGGAGCCCTGGGCGGAGATGATCTCGCCAAGGTCGTCGGTGAGCGTGGCGGCGATCCAGGACTTGACGACGCAGTCCATCCGGGCCCAATCAGGAGGAATTGGGGCTGGAGGTTCCTCTCGAACGTGATCTTGGAGGGAGAACTTACCGAGGATGAGAAGGAACTGATCACGCCAGTGGTTGAAGTTACCGGAATCGACGTCGAGGATGGTGGTGACGTGGTTCCGGATGTTGCTGACCGCAACAGCCTGAGCATGGAGCTGCAGAAGGGCAACGGCCTCGTGATGCAGCATGGCAGCCTGAAGATCGGGTGGCGGCGCTGAAGTGCCTCCAGGTGCGGCGCCAGAGGGTTCCGGAGCAACGGCGGCGGCGGTAGCCGCTCGCCGCTCCTTGGCGGCTGGCGCCCGGTGCCTCGCTAAGCGCGCGGCGGGCGGCGTCGCGATCCTTAGCCGCGGTTGTGGCCTCCTCCTCGCTTGTAGGGGCGCGTGCTGCTGAGGGCAGCATCACGCGCGACTGATGCTCGCGCTTCGACGCCGAGCTGAGCGGGCGGCAGCCTCGCTGGCCTTCTCTCCATGGCGGCGTTGGCGGCTTCTTCTGGATGGTGGTGGAGGGAGGGCGGCGGATCGCCCGACCACAGGGGGTTGTTGAAGGGGTGGAGGGCATGGTGGCGCAGCACGGTGGGTACCGGCGCGCGGAGGGGCGCAGCGCGGCGAGGGGCGCACGCGTGGAGTGGGCAGCGGAAGAGGAGATCTAAACCTAGGCGGCTGATACCATGAGAGCGAATAGGTTTCGGGAATTGATTGATAGATTAGCATCAATATATGGTACAATATATATGCAAGGATCAATAAGGTTTATAGAAACACCTAATCAACGGTGGTCCTTGTCTTATCAATGTAATCTATCTATCTTAACCCCTAAGGCAGCCAGCCTAACAGGCTAGGCGCCAGGCCTAAGGCCAGCCCATTAGGGCGCCTATTCTAACAGTAATGTAAGTATTTCTCCACTTCTTTGTTAAAAGTTGAAACAGGCAAATTTCTCTGACACTGCTGTTTTACCGTGTTCAGTTCTATAGCTGTATATATATTCCATATTGTGTTTGAAGTGGCATGTACCCTGCCTTTTGATCGTCCAGGAGAAGGTTCGTGTTTGGGACTCTGGGTGCAAAAAATCATTATGTTTTGGGAGACGCCATGATTTTCTAGTTTCATAATTGTGCCATAATTTTTTTCAAAAAAAAGAAGTATTAGGCACCTGGTACCCTTTTTTTTGCAGTTTTAGAAACCATAGTATGCCAAATAGCAGTGTTTGGAGAAACACTTCGAACCTGTTCAAACACCAGGAAGTAGTCTCCCACTTCGTGTCATGGACTGCAGGTTTTATTCGTCGCTTCCCGTTCCAGAACAAGGTTTGGTCATTTCATTTCCCTCATAATTTCATCATAACTATCCTATTCATATCTTCATCCTCTCTCTAGTTGCATCTTGCAACACCATGCAACCTTCTACCATGGGCGCTGTACAGCTGCTCTGCTTTCTGATAGCAAAGATGCGGCTGGCTTGTTGCGGTTGCAGCAGCTTGGATACCTGTTGCTGTCTGCACCAAACAGACTCGTTGGTGCAGACACAGCATGTCTGATCGTGAATGTCTCTTGTTTGTGAGTCATGATGCGACAGGTTTTCAGTTTTTAGTGCCTTTTGGTATATCTGTGCTGATTAGGATTTTGTTCTCCCCATCCCATTTCTGGTTTGCAAGACTTAGTGCTTTATGGTAAAATAGGCTTGGCATATTGTCCTGATAAAAACTTAGTCTCATAGCTCACAAGTTCTGTTACGTTCAGCTAGAGCAATCAGAACTAAACCACTTCTCAAAACACGTACGTGATGGTAACAGAATGATACAAGTAGTAGCTTCTGGTTGTACATAAAGTTTTTTTTCCTGATCATAGAAGCGGCAATATTGTTGGGTTTTGTAAATTTGCCTGCACAGTTGCAATTTATCTACGCGGTGTGATTTAGTAGCTGGTAAGTGCGTGCTTGCTGCTTGGAAGGTCTTGTCTACTTGTTTCTTTTGTACTTTGTGTAGCTTGCTGCTGTACAGTAAGTGTCGATTCCCTTCTTGTCTTTGTCAGTTGTTTCGAATTCGAACAATAGTACTTCAATATCGTGTAAAAAAATGTTTGTCAGTGAACCAAACGACGGCTTCACAGAATCACAGGATACCAGCTACTCCTAATAATACGGGTTTAAATGTGCCAGGCTGCCAGCACACAGATTCATCTTTGGTTTATTCTAGCCCCATTTGCTCGGAGGAATTTGTGAGAGGAAATAAGCTGTAAACAGTAGAAATCAGCCATGCACAGTGCTTTTTGTGCACCAGCGGAACGGCCCCTCTGTTGTCTGTACAACAGCAATACTGGTTTGGTTTCCGAACTGGCACAAGATTGTGCCATTTTCATTGATACAGAGCAGAAATCTACATAGTGTCATTTGGACAAGAGAAAAAACTAAGAATAAAAATACCATAAAAGGCTCATTCTCTTTGATCTTGGACAAGAGCGACGACAGTAACGCTGTCACTCATCTTGTATTCCTAGTTCCTGCTGCACTTGGCAAACTGGGAAGGAAAAAAAACTCTCAAACTGTAGCCACATGCTTCAGAGAGAGTGGAGAAACTGTAGCCTTGTTTGGTTCAGCTGTATCCTCTGCCCTTGTAGGCTGCTGTACCTCACCTGTGTCAGCAAAATTGAATCCAGAACAGTTAGGCTTTGTTTAGATCCTACCCAAAATCCAAAATTTTTCAAGATTTTCCATCACATCAAATCTTGCGGCACATGCATGGAGCATTAAATGTAGGTAAAAAGAATAACTAATTACACAGTTTGTCCGTAATTGGCGAGACGAATCTTTTAAGCCTAAATAGTCCATAAGAACTAAAGTTAGCACATCAACAATGCTGAGTGCTGACAGACTATAAAACCGAATTTGTTGGTCTGGATGTACTGCTTACGTGCATTGATGATAGTGTGGACAGCAAATCTCTGCACTGCGCCACCAGAATGTGTTCTTGAATGAAAACACTGGAGAGCTGGGACACCAAGACATTTGTCCGGGCTAACTGCAGAAAATGGCAGACGATTCAGACTGAAAACAGCAGCATCACTTAGGCCCTGTTTAATCCCACCCAAAATCTAAAATTTTTAAGATTCTCGTCACATCGAATTTTGCGGCACATGCATGGAGCATTAAATGTAGGTAAAAAAATAACTAATTGCACAGTTTACCCGTAATTGGCGAGACGAATCTTTTAAACCTAAATAGTCCATAATTGGACAATTTTTGCCAAATACGAAAGTGCTACAGTGTCCATTTTCTAAACTGGAAGGGATCCTTATTGTGATACTGGTAGCATCTTGTTTGTGTAAATGTTATGTGATTCAAATAGAAGTGGAAAAGAAACTTCTGTATAAACTCAGCACCTTAGGCAGCTGGGTGGTTGTTGAGTTTCCTATAGTATGCATGACGTCAACTGCAGAGCCAAGAGCATTTCTTATTCCTTGAATATCTACCTGAAAATATGAGGTCTTAATATTTCAGATGAAAAGCAACAACTTGATGAAACTTTCTTGCTGTTTTATGATATACCAACCATTGCTCCATTGGAGACAGGAAGGCGCAGGACGGTAGCAGTCAGAGCCTGTGTTGTTCCTGACAAAGAATGGGCATGATCCCTCTCCAAAAAGGACCATTCTTCAAGGTATTTCATCTGCATTTTGTAAGTTTATCAGGGCCTGTTTAGATCCCACCCAAAATTCAAAATTTTCTAAGATTCTACGTTACATCGAATCTTGCAGCATATGCATGGAGCATTAAATGTAGGTAAAAAGAATAATTAATTGCACAGTTTACCCGTAATTGGCGAGACGAATCTTTTAAGCCTAAATAGTCCATAATTGGACAATTTTTGCCAAATACGAAAGTGCTACAGTGTCCATTTTCTAAGCTGGAAGGGATCTACAGAGTTTGTCAAAACAATGTGTACTCAAAACGAATTTATATAGTGTCATAAATTAGCGATTTGATACTCCTACAGGTCCAGCGGGGCAAACCGGCTGTACGAACTTTAGTCTTTTAAGATAGCAATTATAGCTGATCTAAGTATCTTTATGAGCCATATCATGGCCATTTTAATTTGCAAGCTAGTACAACTCCAAAAGTTCAGTTTAGTAGTGATATCATCTGATTATTATGACTTATGAGCTGATTTCATCTACTTTTCAACTCCAAAAGTCCAGTTTAGTAGTGACAACTCCAAAGATCTGTTTGCTAATAATTTTTTTAAAGCGGTCCTTTTTTATAACTGAAATAGACAGCCCTGCTCTTGCCCAGCCATCAAAATTTGCATTATTACTCTAGGTTTTTTGTGAGAGGAATGCCAATGCCAGGGAATAAATGGAGAATTGACTGAAGGACCAGCATGATGTTCTTACGTGTCCTCTCAGAATTGCCATGAGTTTGCAGCTGTTTCGAAGCAGCTGGAGCTGCATCTTTCTAATGGCGACCGATTTGCGCATCCTCAGGATAGAAACCCATGCGCCACACAAGTTTTTCTGCCATCAACATTTAGAACCATCAGCTGCTGTGTTACGGAAATGCAGCATCAACAGCCTTCAAAAAATGATTGAACAACTGACACGATGATCACCCTGTATCATGTCTTCAATATACGAACAGAACAGAGAGAATCATTCAGTCACTCACCTCTGCACCCATGGTCTGCGACGAAGTCGCAGCTCCAGCCTGCGCATTCACAAACCGCCACTGCAACTCCCGGGTGTAGAGTAGTCTCAGCTGGTGCTCCTTCTCGGTCTTGATCGCCGCCGGGAGCCTGCACTTCATGTCACCATCCACGCCGCAGCTCTTGACTTGCGTGTTCCCGGCGGAGGCAGGGCCCTCGGTGGAGCGCCGGGCCGGGGACGAGCTGACCGCCCTCCGGAACGCGCTGGCCACCGGCTTGCTCGGCGACGGCTGCTTAGGAGACGCCCTGCTGAACGGCAAAGACAGCAAGCCGGTGAACAGTGACCTCTTCTTGACCGGCGCCGACGCCGGAGACGACGTGGCAGGCACGCGTGACGGCGACGGCATAACCGGGTAGGCGAAGCGCTCGGAGCGGGTCCCCATGGCGTCCCGCGCGAAAAGCGCGGAGGAGCTCATGGCGCTCCTCGGCGACGGGTGCGGGCCCGAGCCGACGCTGCGTCGGGGCGCGCCGCCATCCCCGGACCCGGACCAGCCGGACGACGCGCTGTCCGTGTCGGAGGACAGCGCCAGCAGGTACTCGTTGGCGCAGTCCACCGACGCGCGCCTCGGCGTCCCGCGGAACGCCGTCGACCGCACGGCGCCGAAGATGGCGGCAATCGCCTCCTTCTTGGTCGAAGCAGAGCACGCCGGGGTCTTGGCGAGCGCGCGGCCGTCGCGCCCGCACTGCGCCGACGCTGGCGGCCACCGGTACGTGTTCTGGCTCGCGTCGGACACCTTGGCGCGCGCAGTGGGCCTCTTCGGTTCCGGCGTGGCCGCGGCGGGCGACGCGGAGGCGGAGCTCGCCCTGCTGGTTTCCAAGGAGTATGCGGGGCTCTGGAACGCCACCGCGAGCGTGCGTGTCGTCGTGGTGGCTCTCCCGCCGGACGCCACCGCGGCGTCCGTGGCGGTGGCAACGTTGGGGAGCACCGGACGCGACCGGTCGGTTGAGGTGGGCGCCCTCGGTGCTGGCGACTTGGCAGGGGAGGAGATGGAGGTGGAGGTGGGTTTGGAGGAGCGGGTGAGGTAGCGGGAGGCGACGGCCTTGGTCTTGGTCCTGCGCGCCGCGGCACCGGCGTTGGCATTGGCGTCGGAGAGCGCGGTGGCGACGACGCAGCCAGCGTTGGCGTTGGGGAGCGCCGCAGGGCGGCGGCCCGTCGGCTCCAGCGGAGGCGTGGCCACGACGGCGTCCACCACTGTGGGTGGCATCATCCTTGCTGCCAGCGGATCAATAGTCGGCCGTGTGGTCGACGGCGAGCTGGCAACGCGCGCGCGAGACGGCGAGAGTTGAACGGAAGCAGCTGAAACCGACGACGGGCGTGGGTGGCGGCTTAGCTTGCTTTGCTTCCTCCTCTGTAGTCTGTAAAGGTGATGGAACTATTTATGCTTTCTGCACGTATCCGTGTACGTGCATTTCGATCTTTCATGGCTCCGGTGTGTATTTATATTTTGCCTCCGATTCAAGCGTCCATCTTAACCTTTTTCTTCTTTATTTTTTAAAGTCAAAGTATCAACTACTACGAAAACAAGTATTAGTAGAAAATCCCTTTCATTTACAGAGAGACGAAGAACAAAAACATCACTATCCTCTCAAAATGCCTTGTGACATTTAGAGGTGGCCAGTCTATTTACGGAGATAGCTAGACAAAAAAAAAAAATCGTATGTATAAATAGATTTTTAGCTACGTACGTCTTTAGAAGTTAGCCTCAAAAGTAGCTATTGACAGAGGCAGGACTTTTAAACATGTCATCTTTGTAAATTAATTAAAAGAAGCAATCATTTTAAGATATCCTCCTCTATAAATAGGTGTCACCAAAAAAATCATAATTTTTTCATATAAGATCAGATGAAGATAAACTTTATATCTATAATTTTATAGTTGACAATTTTCATTTTAAATTCTCATATTTTAAAATTCAAAACTCAGAATATTTAAATAAACACGGATGTTGACATGGTTAGACCAATGCTATAACTACGCGATATTTCATGCCTATAGAGCAGAAGTATGAACCCTAATATTGACAGCGGTGAGCAAAGTGTACATGCACGGCCCCTAGAGCTGTCAAGTAGCGAGCATAGCCATCCGTTGGCACTAGAGTCAGCATTATTTGAGACGATCGACTGGTGTGGTAGGTTGTTTCGTTCCTTCCCCCGTGACAAGGACCTCTTTGAATTCAGTATTATGGCACGGCCCTCAGCTCAATCGTGTACCGTCGACGGCAGAGTACGTAGTGCAGTTGTATAAATAAATACAGATAGTAGCCATGCATGGACATGATACTATGGACACATCAATTTTAGGTAATGGAGAAAATGTGGCTTCATACCTCTTCAAGTAAATGCATCAGTCTAAAGTTTTTGTAAAGTTTAAGTGACTCCACGCACTGAATTTAACACTAATAAAAGCCAATGCGAAAAAAATAAAAGGCCATCCATAGACTTTAACTATAAAAGTTGGCAAGAGTGTACTAGATTGTCCTTAAGTTTCTTAGTGCCTTTTAACAGAGCCTAGAACCGAAGCTAACATATTCCCTTGAACAATATATGCAGAAAATAAAGTTTTCAGTTAGAAATTGTTAAATATAGTAGTGTTTCTTGTGAGCCAAATAGCCCAGCAAACAACCATAGCTCCTGTTAATAGAAAATTTTGTTTCTATGCTCCTCAATTTGATCAAGTACAAATAATGTTTGCCATTGTTCGGTGGGGAGGTCCTAGAACTACAACGATGGCCACCATAGGAATTTGACATAATGATGGTAAACTAAGAAATGTTTGATAGTTCATGTTTGCGACAGAAGCAAGAAAGTTTATTACCATTCCGCCTTCTCTTTACTAAGTTTCCTAGTTAGAATGACCCCCTTTCCCCCCTTTAAGTATCAAAAGATATTTTTAATCTTTACTGATAATTTCGTACCCCAAATTTCGTGTGAAGTCATCACTACTGCAAATTTGATGTGGTCTGGCAGCGGCTCCCGTCTCCCCAATCACACAGATCACGGCCGACGGTGACACACCCCTTTAGATCTCCTTTGTCTTCGTCTTCGTCTTCGTGGGCTCATCTGGTCTGTGAGAGCGAGGTATGTCGTGGATAAGATCTTTTTCATGGAAACCGCTCGATTTAGATATAATAGTGGTTGGGAGTCATGATCATATATATCCGAAATAATGTTACAAAAGAAAGTAAAATCTCCTATCGTCGTTCCAATTTAGGTACGTAGATACCCCGCCCGGTCCTACAAGATACTATACGTACTAATAGCAGCTTGAATTTATATATAGCAGTCAAGCGTACGTACAGTACAGAGATGGATCGGAGAGAGTATTTATCTACTCGATCACCAGTACGTAAGTAGGTACGTACCAGCAGTGGAGGATGCGCGCATGCGATCCGATACGTACGACACGTATAGTACGGCGTACGTTATCTCAATGCATGCACGAGGAGGACCAGGGGGGGCCACATGCAGGACCGGTGTGTGTGTGTGTGTGTGTTTCTCTATAGCTGGCTACGTAGGTTAGTCAAACTCCAAGTGGATTATCGTAATTATAAGAGTAGAGAAACATAGATTCTAGTAAATCTTATTCAAAGGCATAGATTCTAGTAAATCATGCATAAATAAAGTTCTCGTAAACCATAATGTCAAATTCACAAGAACAGGAAGGCATGCATTATAGTAACTCACATTCAATGTTCATTCTTGTAGATAATAATGCACTAAATTCTCGTAAATCATAGCTGTCAAATTCAGAAGGGATCGCAGGGCATAAATTTTAGTGAATCACATTCGATGGCATATATTTTCTAGTAAATCATCTACAAATATTTTACTAAGTTTCATGATGACAAATTTTCGTAACTCCTATATTTATTGTCTTTATACGTTCTAATCATCATAGCGCTAAATTACCACACTATAAATAGTTACTAGAGAAAAGATTATGTTTATTATGCCAATCAACAATTTATGTAAATGTCCTGGTTCTTAGAGAGAACCATAATATTTACTATTCGTATCATGATGTTTCAAGTGAGAAAGACATCTGACCCACTAGTAGGCAATGTCTGCTTGACTTCATTATATTTGAGGACAGTCAATAGGTGTTCTGCATCAACTCCAATTGGATCACCAGCCATTGGTCATGCATCTAGGGGATGCTTATGCCGATTGATCCAGTAGGGATGCTTATGCTGCCGCACAGGATCATGATTCGTAACCTGGATTTATGTTTGTCAGGTTGGAGTTTTTTAGTGCACTCAGCTGATGCAGGTTGATCGAAAATAGATTTTTTCCCCTTTTGAAGCCCCTGCGCAAATACAAAGTGTTCTCCAGCGACTTCAATTTCATTATCTATATCCAACTGTTGGCTTAGTGTCTGATCCAAAGCCATGGGAGATGTTCTAAATGATTTGAGCACATTTTCTCACGCAAATTCTGGATGTAATTACATAATATAGTTAACGTTCCTATCAGTGTGCTTTGTTAAATTGCGAACCTCTAGCTCAATTATTCTGTTGCATGTATATTTGCCTTGGTTCTCTGTTGTCTATATGTATAACTTGTCAAACCTCAACTATAGTAAACTGCGATACATTTTAATATTTGCATGGAGTATATATTCTAGTAAATAATTCTGCAAAAATATCTAGTAAATATATTATCGTAACTACACTGGGGGCAGAAAGGCATATATTCTAGTAAATAATTTTGTAAAAATCTAGTAAAAATTACTCTAAAAATATAGTAAAGATTACTGTAACTACTAAGGGTAGAAAGTCATAGATTCTAGTAAACAATTTGCAAGTCTAGTAAATAGACTATCGTTACTAATAAAAAGAAGCAGCATAGGTTCAAGTAAATCATTTAAAAATTATCATAAATGACAAAATCTCGTAATATGATTCTCATGCATGATCGTGAGCCTTTGGGATTTTCATGCACGACGATGATGAAAAAAAAAACTCAAGGATATTATATACTATTATAAGCATGGATTCTCGTAATAAGTACAACATATAGGTCTACGTGAACACCAATGATGCATGCACGTGGCCGTTTTACTGTGGACAGAGGCTTATTTTTGGTAAGTTGAAAAATCCGTCGCAAATCAAGGAGCATGATTCTCGGATGTTTTAACGGAATCATCAGTGTGATGCGCGGCTCCCGTAGCCTGTTTTCTCGCGCACGAGGCTCGGTTACTGGGCGAGCCGCATGGATTGGGAGCCGGGAGCCTGGGAGGAAAAAAAACCGCTTTGGCCTTTGGGTGTATCTACATACCCAATCTACGATATAACCATGAAAAAATTTAAGCGGAATTCATATTTATTTATTTTTTGCATATGGTCATATATCGCATTTACTGCATAATAAAAAGGAGTATGTCCATACACTGAACGAATCCCCACATCTTTGTCTTGTATACCACTTTGAATAATCTTATATATGCACATACTTTATTTAGACATCCCAAGTATGGTCAGATACTCTCTAGATTGTGAGATACATATGTGGGGGTAGTTACACGCAGGAGTAGAGAAAACTCACCATATATATATATATATATAGAACTACTGTTCTACAGCTGGCTATAGAATACCTTATTCTGTAGCCACTTTGAGTTACGATAATTACTATGCTAATTTTTAAGATTATAGTAACTCCTTACTTTGTGATTTACTATAATGTTACAGTAAATATCCCCATGTGTTATAGTAACACAATTGTCGTAAATATGTATTCACTTTGGCTCTTCGTTCGCTTCGCTGAAAAAACAAGCCGAAACACTGTTCCGGCTGATTTGTTGTGAGAGAAAAACATTGTTCCGGCTGAAAAAATAAGCTAAAAAAGATGGATTATAAGAGAAGCGAATATGGCCATTTATCGTAAATAGAGAGCACGATTGGATAAAAGGAAGATGTGACTATAATATAAAATGTGCTTTCTGCATATATTATCCTAGTCAGGAAAATAGATTTACATGCAGCATATGTTTAAAGCAAGCATGTTCCTCATGTTTAAGAACTAATAACCAAAAATGGAGACAAGAATCAGAACTAGAACCAAAAGATAAAATATTAGTAAGTAGAATTAAAAACTTAGAAAATAGAATAAATAGCGTAGAAGCAGATTAGAAGAGCTAAAGAGTAAAATAGAACTCAATGAAGTAAATTGGATCGAAGAAAATGATAGAGGCATTACCGAGTTAAAG